GAGGGGAAAATATTCTCCTTTAAGGAAGTACGATCACTCTGTGCCAATCTCAGGGATCTAGTGTTGCCCGTGCATTCGTCTCTCTTCTGTCACTCTCTTGCCAGGCGCCACTCCGTTGACACCCACCGCGCCAACCCGGACTGCGCCCCGGTGAGTTGGAGTCGCGACACGGGCAGGAGGACAAGAGGAGTGCCGTCTGTCAGAAGAAAAGATCTGCTGTCAAAACCAGCTCTTGGCGAGTGCGCCACAATGGACTCACGGGGTGATGATATCGAGCGATTTTGGAGGTGTCTCAAGCTTGCGACGCAAATGGCTCGGGTTCATCCTCTGAAATGATGATAAATATGATTATCTATATAGCTCGCTTGTGTCTCTTCGACGCGTGTACAGTGCGATGTCATAAAGCAGTGAGTGACGTACAGGTCCCCCTAGCTCTGTCCACGCTTTAGTCTCGTAAACCTTTGGTCGAACGTTCAAAGTAATCGCACAGACCAAACTCGGCTTATGAAATTGCCAACCATGGACTCAACCCCCGTCAGTTTTCCCGTGTGACTGCGCTCATCACTCCTGACGCTTACGGACAATTGTCGCAAACAACCAAAGACATTCTTTATTCAGTTTAACTGCACATGTCTTTCCAAAGACGCCTATCCTAGGTTTTCCGCGTTTCTTTTAGAGCACTTTTAATGGTCATAATCGTAGGTCGGACGTTAAGATAATTAGGACTAATTTTAACGCAGTTTACACTTTAGATTAGCTTTGCAAAGCAATATGGACCAAAAGCTGACAACAAGAAACGAATTTCGTTCGGATGTTTCGTACACAGCTTATTTTGAGTTCAAAATTTTCCCTGAAGGCAAGAATAAAAGCTTGACTGGTACGGTGACGATGCCACAGCAGACGCGTTCGTGCATGAACTGATGCCGTTGATGATGCAGCCGTGGTTTGTGCCCCTCCGCACGCCGCCGTCAAAGCACGGTCTAGCCCCCCCCGTCTTGTCTCATGCGCGCGGTCCAATATCACCAGTTATAAGACAGACTTAACCCCGCTATATGCTCGTCTCCCTACTTCGGGTCATCGACATCACATCTTCATCGATTTTTCCTCACAACTTCCACATCTCTCTCTCCTCTCCTCTCTTCTCTATCCAGCGCTCTTTTCCTTCTCAGTCTGCGAGCCAGCCTGATGCCGTGTTGTTTGGCTTTTTAGATCGTACCTGCCTCCATTTCGCCAGTCTCCGTCGTTGTATATTTCGTTCGCAGCGCCGAATCTCGTTTTGGATTCCCCCCCCCATGCATGGACGCGGCAGTGTTGAAAAGTACACGTCGCCTCGGCAGCACGCAGCCCGTCCTACACCGCCGTCAGATTTAGCCGCGCCTTTAACAATGCAGGTTTATGTATGGTCACCGATAATCGCCATCATGCTTCACGAAATATGACGCGTAATTGGACTCAAGACTTAAATCTAAAAGGGACTGCGAGAGAGAGGGGAAAAATGATGGGCCAGCGAGTCTTGTTTGCGGGGGCCTGAAGCACCTGGTAGGGTGTCCGTGCTAACGGGCACCGCGGAGAGACCCATTATCACCATTAGATTCTTCCTTCTTGTAATCGCTCGCACCGCGTGAAATCTTCTTTCAGCAACTGCCAATTCTCTTATAATCTTTTATCCTACGTATTATAAGAACAGCATGCTGTTATTTCACCACTGCAAAATGTCCCTTCAAAATTATTGAGTGCACACAGACACTGTCTTCAGTTCTGACATAACATAAACATTCCAAAAAATCGTTTTGCTGTTTGTCATGTTTTGGATCTCCTGATTTTTCTTCTCGGCGATGAACGGATTTTGTGTGGACCGATGTGGCGTTGGACAATTTCGTGTACTTAGTGGAGCGTCTCGCGATGAGTGTGTGATCATTGTACAATCATGAAAGTTGATTTTAAGTTTGTGCATTCCCATTGAAAGTTCCATTGGACCCACTTAATGTGACTAAAATTATTTATTTATAGTAATATTTATAATTATATATTTCATGTAAAAATAGGAGGAGACATGCCCTCATGAAATTCGTGTTCAGTGCTCAGCTCACCATAACACTGACCATTGCAGAAATTCCTTCAAGCCCCTCTGCCCCACCAACCAACCAACAAGCAAAACTTTCTCTTGAACAAGGGAAACCCCTTTAACGGCCCCTTTTTATTTATCATATCTGCATGAAAGTGCATCCTGGGAAAAAAATCAAAATCACAGGCAACAGCTAGTGTCCGAGTCTCGGGTCTCTCAGGTTGATACACTTACACCAGTTAAAAACACCAGCAGTATTTAAGCTGTGTATTAAGAGTTGGGCTGCGTCTAAATTACTTGGCCAGGTGCTAGAACGCAGATTCCCGAGCCATCTCCAAGGGACGCATGCGTGTTAGCTGTGGGTACAGCCAGGTAACTCGGCCGAAGCCGTGTCCAAACCAGGCTACCTGAACCCTGGCTATGTCAAATCCCAGCGTGTTCCCACGTACACATTCTGTTGGGGTGGCACAGGCCCAGCTCCAGTCCAACATCAGAGATTCATTCGCAGTCTAATATCACCCCCCCCAACGTCGCGCAAATGAAACAGCGCCCCCAATAGTGCGTAGTCATTTGCCCGGCCTTTGATCTGTTCGCTTGGCGGACGTGTTGTGCTTCAACAAAAGCATTTACAAGTGTCCCATTAAATCTCCAAAATGACTGAAATTTCTTTCAGTATAAGCAAATCTTAATTTAATTTTTTGGCTATCTATCTATACCCCAGTAACAGTTAAAAAGAGCAGCTGATCAAAAAATTGTGAAAAATTGTCAAATCGGTTCAGAATTACAATCAGGTAATTGCGTTTATAAAGATTTTGAATGAAAACATTTTTGATACAGATTAGTTTTCCAAATATGTTGCAATCGACGATTTTTTTTCCGCAGAAAGCCAAATTCTGCCATCAGAAATTGTGGAACTGGCTGACGAGCCATCTTTTACTTCAAAATTCAAGCGACAAACGTATAAGAAATACCTGGAGTCATTGAGTGTACAGGAAAGTAATAATGACTTCCATTTTAAAGCAAACATTTCGGGTTTTATAAAGGCTAATAGTAGCGGTTCCAGCTGACCAGCAAATGGCAAAAAAGTACACACCGCTGAGTTCAGGTAGCACCCTAGGCTGTCTCGGACCATGGGCGAATTTGAGCTCATCGCCCGCCTCCTCCCCCCCCCCCACGTTCGCCCTCCTTTTGCCCCTCCGTCGTACACGCGAGGCCTGCTCTCTCATGCCACTCCAAATTAATTTCGACACACTCTCTCCCGCTCGATAAATAACAAAACCACTCAACCACAAAACGCGCCAACTACCACGACTACGAATTGCCGAGAAGAAATAATTCTGTCTCTATAAAGAAGGAAAAAGTAGGATTTAGAAATCGGTCAGCAGAGCGTGTGTGGGAGGCGGGCGTGATGGTTGACTCGTCCCAAGTTACCGATTCACAAACCCTGCGATACTGTTGTTTTGATCTTATTTTCGCTTTCCCCAATGTCACTTTTTTAACATGGTGGCTCAACCCTGAAGTAGGGTGGAGCAAAAGCTGACATCATCAATCTCCGTGTTTTGTCTTGTTTTGTTTTCTTTATGAAATGGAGCTTGAGGTTGTTCAACGCGACACGACCCCTTTAGCAGAACGACCATTGTAGATTTTTTGAAAATTAATACCAGGAACAAGAGGCTTTTGACATAATGCACCTGCCTTATTTCACTTACCGCAAGCAATAAGTTTTGCAAAAATGTTCATATTGATAGGGTGAAATAATAGTAGTCAAGGGAGAAAAATTCTATCATTAAGGACGAAATGACTTTTGCGAACAAGCAAAATGTAATGGCAAGATGTGTTATTGCGACTCGTAATTAAGTAACGGACAGTCAGTAGATAATGACTGCGCATTTAACCTACCTGAAAACACTGCTTTAGTTACACTTGTTACAGAAAAAATGTCGTTTTATTCCATCTATCAAATGCTATTTATTAATATTACATTATAATAATTCAATTCACATTTTATGATAGGTCTACTCTGTATTTGTCATTAACACCCAGACATTGTAAATACCTTGAACAAAAACACAAATATTTGCTTAACTGCAAAGTTAATATTAGTGGTGGTAGTCATCACTATGATGCCATCATGTTTCCATCATCGTTAGACAGCTATACATGTAATCCTATATTGATCTACCACTGAAAAGAGAACGCAGATAATCATGCTTTCTTAAAAACACAGATATTTAGAAGCTTTGTTGTATATTCCAGTGTGTAGTTCTGTATCTTTCCTGTAGGAACGATCCAGAACTTTTGGGGGAATAATAAATCAGTGGCCTGTGTTTATACAAATATGATATCCTGGCGAGGCTAGACGCCAGCTTTCCCTTAATAAATCCTGCCTTGTGCCTTTAATAAGTCCATAGATGTGACAAAGCCCCTATCGCACCATACTAAATCCTGACTACCGAGATATGCGACTTGATAAGATTATGACTGACACGGCGCACGAAGTGTTCCATGTCTGTTTATTTCAAGTTCACGCGCTGCTGGTACATCCGGTCTCGGGCGCACACACACTGCTGAGTGTTTAGCCGGTGCGGTGTGATTTCACTGTCTGATCCTGGGGCTTGTATTTAGGGTGATATGGCCGACTTGCACTGCCAGACTTCGTTAATCAGCTAATTTGCCGATGGGTTATTAAGCGTCTGGGTCACACCTTTCCTAAATCACTGCAATTAGCAGGAATTACTCAGTAGTATTGCGCTGTGTGTAACGCTTTAAGCACTGCCAAAGTATTTTCATACATTTGCATACGATTAGCACCCTGATGCCGCTTCCCTCTCGAAACATCTTGTATATTTTTTTTGATCGCCGATGTATAGTATCGCGCCATCAAGAAACTAGAAGGCATCCTCAACTAGACTGCGCACAGAAAATCACTTGTTTATCTAGCAGGCGGACTGGATACCGCACGCTGGCCTTAGCAGCGGCCGTATCAGGGGCTTGGAATGTCTGGAATTTTACTCCATATTCATTATAATCCCACATAAATCAAGCTGATCGACACACGATTGGTCAGTTGGCCTTCAATCGCGGCGGAAATGTAGTTAATATTAATCTGGTGTGCATGACATCACAGAATGCTTCGTTAATTGATTGGCTACACTGGCCCCCAGCTGACACGGCCGGCTGTCAATCACAGGGCGCCGAGTCTTTTGATGTTGGCCGGTCGCCTTTGCGTCTGTACACAACTGAATGGTTGGGGTTCATTGACGTGGGACGTGGAAAGAAAGTGGAGTCAACTTGAAACGGTTTCGCCGCGATTTTTTTCCTCCCGTGGATTTTTTTAAAACCCGGGCCGTACAATGCCAGGGCAGCCCAGCCGTAGTGGCGAAGACGATGGGCCCCCGGACGAGACCAAGACCTACCACACCGAAGGAGAACAGGAGGAGAAAATCAGCGAGAATGCTGTGGGAGTCCGGGAATCTTTCGACCATCTCAACGACGAGAAGTCCAGCCTGGTGAACGCGTACGAGGGGGAATGCTCGAGTAGTGGCTCCAACAAATCAAGCACAAGTTCACAGGTACGTTTCCCCATTCCCTATAGACCCCACTGACGGTCCAAACCACCCCTGAACGGTCCCTGGCATCCCAAACTACCCCAAAACCAACTTATTCTCGCTTGTTGTCTTTACTACAGAGGAATAAGCGGCTGGGACCCAGCGACTATGCCGATTCGAGTAAGGACGGACGGGCTAAGAAACTCCATGGACTCCCCGTTGGTGAAGGTACGTAATGTGTGTACCGTGGAAACGCGGCATGGCACGGCTATTGGATTGCCTGTGTGCTGTACATAATACCCGCTGTGTTGTACCGTGTAAATGGCATAGTATGACTCAGTAAACGCGATGACCTGGTGGTTTTGGCGGCTGACAGCGCTGCTAAGGCCCCTCCATTTTGCACGTGCAAGTCATGGAGAGTCATGTCGCCTAGCTCAATGGCTGGCATCGCCATTGTGCGGTCAGAGAAACAGCGAAATTTGAGCTGTCGTGAAGGACACGAATGGCTCAAAATGGCCGTACTCTAACGCACACTGTGCACCAAGTATGTGCCCGGTGTACTTAGAACGTACAAGGTACGCATGTAGGCCTACATACTGCAGGCCTATAGACTGTACATGTGCTATCAATTTACAGTATCAGCACCATTTTGGCAGTATTATTCCTAATTACCCTTGCTGTGAACTTTGTAAAGACTGCAGTGCTACTGGTTTTGAAGATACTTCTGATATGTTTGGTATTGCACTCTCCAAGTCCATTAAAACATGCATGGGGTTTCGCTGTCAGTTATGAACTTAACACATAACAGTCACTTAAAATTGCGGGCATGCAGTGAATGTCAAACATGCATATGAACTATGTTGCATCAGTGATTAAATGTATCAGGGGAATATAAAGGGTATTTCCATTCTGGATCATCTCAATTTTCAGAGGTCACAAGCTAAGTTAAAAGGGGGCTCTTGTTTATTTTAGGGGGATTTCATTCGTTTGTGTTTAAATTTTAATGGTCTGATAGGAAAGTCTTGCTGAATAAGATTTTCTCATAAGTTTTCTGTCAAAAAATGAGGAAAAAGCCCAACTTTACTTTAAAAGAAGACCTTCAAACAATTGTGTACATCTCAGCAAAAGTCTGATGGCAAGGCGAACCCAGATCCATGTAGTTGTTGCAATTTTTCTGGCAAAATACCCTTCCAACTGTTACATATCTAACAGTTCTGATTACTTTCAGCAGGTTGCTGTTTACACGTGCATGTACCTTCATGCTGAAAGTTAAGAGTTAAGAACGTGCCATGAAATAATAAGATGTTGTATGAGCAGTAAACAGCCCGCACTCTGGCCATGTACATCATTTATGGTACTGAATACAGTCATGTGGCTAGCAGATAATAAATTTTTACTGCTGTCTGAATCATATAATAACACGTCAATAGTTTTATAGATATCAACCACTTGACCTCGATTCACTCCTATATATCAGCTACATAGCCACTGATCATTTGCTTTTAATCAGACAGAAATAGTCGAACATTTGTTTGGCCACAACATCAGTAGTAAATAATAACGTGTACGTATACATGTACCGGTAGTGTATTAGCATTCAAGGTGGATACATAGGCTGAGAAGACTCAAATTCTACGGCCCTAGAAGTTAGACCTACGTGAAGCATTCAGTTTGCATAAACAGATAAACATAAACAGAATCCAAAAAGCCTGGTAACCAGACGAAAAACAAAATGACGTCATCGGACTGAGTGGTTGTCTTTTGCCAAACTCGAGTTAGAAATTTGAAGTTTTCTTGTTTAACCCTAAGTTTAAGTAAGTTTATGTAAAATAGTATTGAAATTGGAGGATTTGGGAGTGTTGGGGTTAAATATTGTCAAAATTTACCTAAACTAGGCCTATCAGGATTGACTAATGGTTCCTTAAGGTCAAAATGTTAGTTTGAGAAAGTGGACTTTGTTTCCTTATTATAGGAACAGGGTGCTAATGGTAACGAACGCTCGCATTTAGAGATTGAGATTCTCGCCCCCAGAAATGAGAGCATTGTGAAATGCCTAATTACCTATTGGGCAAGCTGGCCATTTTCATGTGAGCACCTGGCAAAGACACGAGGAGAGCCAATTTGCCTTCTCTGTCAGATGTCCTCAACCAGTTTTCGTAAAAAGACCTTGGCTGTGTGCTAGTCATAACATAAAAACCTTTACTAACAGAGCAGAATAAGAAGACACAGATTCTGCCCTGCTTGCATATCTGTCCATACGAAAGCAAAAAAATGGTACGAAACAAATCGTTGCCTTGTATGCACAAAATAAGCAGGATGATACAAGAGCAATTGTCACTACTTCTAGTGCCGGCTCATGGCAATTGCACAGAGGCTGTTTTCCAGTTTGCGTTTTCCCCATGTCTGCCGTGAATCAAAGAGGTAAAAAAAAAAAAAATCCCATAATAGCCACACACACTTAATGGAAATTCTTCAGGCAGCCGTCACACTCTGGAGAGTTATCCAGATGGATGAACAAGAAAGCATGCACAAGATTTGTGTGTGGGGGGAGGGGGGATGCAAGAGGATCGCAGTCGTCATTTTTATTATTATTATTATTATTATTTTTTTTATCTTTCTCCCACACACGTGTGAAAAACATTCCAAATCAGTATCTATGTGCCAAGGCCAGACAGGTTTTTTGATATTTATTACATGATCACTCGACCCTTGTTAACTAGAAAACCACATTGGCTGTTTTTATTGCATTAAATCGCTTGAAGTTGAACTTGGTTTTTGAAGAGCATGCTTAAGGTTCATGCCTGATCTTACCATTTGTTCAAAAGATGAAACTGTGCGATTTGTCTTTGATGGTAAAGTCAAGTAGGAGAGTTCTACAGTACACTTTGTCGCAAAGAGGTCGACATACTGGTTGGTGGTGTGCATTTAATGGTAAAGTAGTGTCAGAACTGGGTAGTGTCCTCCATTGAAGTAAGCATTTCCACTCGGGTACCCATAAAAGAAACCCATATTTAAATATAAAGAGGAACAAGTGTACTGCATAAAATAATGTGTTCAAATTGTTCATTCCATTTTACCCCAAACATTCACTGCTAATGCACATAAACATGAACTTCGTTTTGGACATTCCATCTGGCATGATTTTAATTTCTAATGTCTCCACTAAAACCATTCAAAGCCTTTCCCTCTCCCTTCTAAAATGTTAAGAAATGATCTTGACAGCTACATGTAGTTTGGGATACCCAGTCCCATATTTTTTGAACTGGTTCCCATTTAAAATGTGTCCCCTTACATTTTGGTTGCTTGTGCTTGTAAACAATGAAGGGATAAATGATTGACTGCTCAGTTTTGTAACTGTGGTTAAAAAAAATGGCTAGTTTGGGGCTTGTGCCTTTTGATATGAATTGCGTATGTTGCATGAAGAATATTGATGATTCCATTTGGGAAAAAGCGTACATATGTCTACAGTGTTTCAAAGCTGAAGTTGCTAGTTAGTGTGAAAGTCCTGCTAGCATGGTAGAAAAATGAAGTTGGCCCATATGTGGCCTGTGGTTGTGCAGTGGACGTTTTACGGAGATGTGCGTGAAATGAAATGGTTCATTTTTAACTAAGAATCCCCCTAAAAAATATTTTTCTTGTTCAACTCACGGGAAGCACTGTGTCTGGTTCCGGACTTTGATTTCTCTAATCTGCACTGACACCTTGTTTGGAAATTTTGGAACAAGATGCCAGCCTTCTTTCAGTGAAGTCTGGAAGCATTTGTCTTGTGCGTCGACACCCAACATGAGCCATTTTCAGTCGCTGAGAAGAAAAGAAAAAAAAAGTGAGCTTGGCTGGTGAAGCATAATATTGATAGAAGGCCAGAGTTCTTTGAACTTGTTGAGGGCGAGTATACACCTCAATAAAACACCTGCCCTTCGTACACACTGTTTGTTTCAGTACATCCTGTCGAGAATAATCCTCAAATTTTATGACCTGCGACAGACGTATTGGACATAACTACAATATTTCCAAAACTAAATTGGCAGTGTCATTTATGTTTGCAATAAAATGTAGTTTTATTTGACATTTGGATGCACAAACTGAGGATTGAATCAAGACAGAGCTTACAACATTCTCTCTTTTGTATTGGGAAAATATATGATGGAGAAGTGTTTCCGAGACTCATTTTATGGGATCTGATCCCATTAAAAAATGGCTCAGCTAGGCCAAGATTGGGGCATGAAATAATATCTTTTTAAAAATGTTGGTGAGAAGGACGATACTAACCTTAAATGGTGAATACGTGTCTCTCTGTGGCCAAATTGCAGGACATGGAACAAGGATAGACAATATTCCTGCCGATGATTTTCATAAATTCACAGTAGATCACGTTGAGATCAGGTGATCACGACCCTTCGCCGTAGGCCCAATTGAGCCCATGTGCGAACTGTTCTCGTGCACAGATACATGTATGTTTGTTGTTATGGTATATCTGCATTGATGTATGACGAGGAAATCAAATGGCCCCCAGCATTTCCTGACACCTTACTCACTGTGTAAAAGAGACTCTGTGTCCATTTCAGATTATCCCACTGTGGGTGCAGGTATCCCCAGACAATGGATTTGTACTTTTGTCATTTGTTTACACCTTGGTGTTTGGAGTGCTAGAATTTAGATTATGTTGCATTTCAAATCCAGGATCCTGCAGCCAGAAGATTGTTAGTTTTCAAGGAGATAATCCATTTGGATCATCCGTTTTTTTTTTTTTCTAGAAAACCTTTTTTTTTTTAATGGTGAGGTTGAACCCACAAACAGAAACCTTTCTACTGGCAAGGTTCAAGGGTGAGGGAGCTGGATAATTTTTTTTTGCGAATAAAGTGTAAACATATCATGACTGTCTCCTTCTA